CTACACTCTACATGCGTGCTTCTGGTATCCAAAGACTTGGTAAAAAAATAATAAAAACTAAATTAATGAATAACCGAATACGAAAACGAATATCTAGATAATTCGATAAAGAATTGTAGATAGATAAGTAAATAAAATACCTTATAAAAGCACAGGCAATATTTAGTTAAGCCATAACATATGTACGAACTTTAAACTACATAACATCATCACATCCACTGATTGTTTCATTTCAAGCTAAACTCCATTTAAAAGAACATAAAAATAAACAAGCATGATTAATTAATTACGGAAATTCATTTTGCAAACCATCGCCGATATGCACCTATGTTTATGTAATAGAAATGCAAATATAGTAATATCTCTATCACTTATTAATTCTCGAGTCATTAACGGTATACCTAATAGATATTAGTGGGAGACATGCTGTTCGGTAAAGCTTTGTAGTGTAAATATATCAATATTAATATTATGAGCTACTGATATCACAGTTACATAACATATCACATTTATATAACAGTGATTTTAACTCTTCCTTCATATCCCATCCACACTCCCCGGCTGGATTCCCTCCCTTATAAGGAGAAGAGAAAAACATAGGAAAAAGAAGGAAAAATATTCAATATCAAAACTGGCATGATGTAGTTTTCATTTGGCTTATGGATATGTGTGTGTGTGTGTGTGTGTGTGTGTGTGTGTGTGTGTTTGTTAATCTAAAACGATCAAACAAAATAATAGATCTTATCACATTGTTGAGTAATCAAGTGAATAGACAAGTTTACAAGTTTGACATAAATTATAAAAAAATCAGCATGTTTTGTGTGTATTTGTATGTACATGGTGCATGTATATATTAGAATAAAATATTTTTGTATGTTCAAGAAAAGCATGGAGCACAGAGGATGAAAAATCATAATCTAATGATGGGCGGAAAGGTCACGACCTTGTTATTTGAGAGGAAAACATTACAGAACATAATATTCATTCGGATATTTCTGTAATTGGAAAATGTTCGGAACTAGCCGTAATTCAGATTTCATTTCCTGATTCAGATCGTCTGAAAAGTTCCAAAAACATTACTCTACGTTAAGAATAAATGGTATTTAGTCCTACGTCTACAAGTAAATTAGTATCTTACAACCTATGTGCATTTCTTCCAACAGCTGGTCACGATCTTCGTCCCGACGACGCTGATCAACCTGATTTCCTTCGCCACGTTCTGCTTCAAGTGGTTCGACTTCCAGAACCGCATTATAGTCTCCCTCACGGCCCTGCTTGTCCTCAGTACCCTCTTCGGCCAGATCGCGGACCACCTCCCTCGTACTTCATACTTCAAGCTGATCGACATCTGGTTCTTCGGCTCCATCCTCTTCTCCTTCGTGATCATCATTATCCACACGCTAGTGGAGTTCCACCATCACTATGCCTCTCCGAACCACACCTCCGGATCTCCCCCGCCGTCGCTGCACTTGTTCCGGAGGACCAATTCTGTAAAGGAGCCTCCTCATCCTTACAACAGAGCGATGTTGATCAACCGTTGGGGCTGCCTGATTATCACTGGCTTGTATGTCATCTTCTTCCTCTCTTTCTGGGTAATCGCTTTCTTGCAGAAGGTTTCGGAGAAGGCAGAGAAAATTGCAGACATGGAAGGGAATATAACTATGATTGGTTATCCAGATTAAAAAGGTAACGAGAACGACAAAATCGAACTCGAGTAATGGTATATTAAATATTGAAAAAGATATTTCGACCGCGGCGAATGATGTTTTTCCGGACATGCATTCTTAACCTTAGAAAACTTACATTGTACTTTATTTCTCCTTGCACCTTTTCATCTTACGTAGTTTATATTAGAAGCTGACTTTCACTATAAGATAAAAAAGAGAAGTTCATAGGATCTCACAATGTCATGCTACTCTTCATATGATATTTTTTCAAATAAACTTCTTATGTGTATATTGCCGTTGTTGAGTCACAGTCAAAAATGCTTGTCACGAATAATTCACAATGAAGTTTGATTTCACAAGCACTTCATCCATTATATGTTCGCTCATACAGAATGTCATAATTTAATTAATCCAGTGCCACACGGTCTATTTCAGCGCCTTATAAATTATACATATGTTATCCCTTCAAGACGTATGAAACTATGACATAATACGACTAATCTTGTGGCAGTGTAGACCTAATAGTCACTGTGATCAATTACAAATATATTTTAAGAGAGATGATACGATAATTTCGCACAAACTAAGCAAACCAAAAATCGACGAGAAGGTAATGGAATATCAAATTTATTTCCTTTTGTGATTAGACTGTCTGATGATAAAGTAATAATAATACCTACTACATTATATGAATATCAGCATGGTTTTCCACGGTATCCACACAGAAATTACCAGTTAAATTATATACAAATATATTCACAAACTGAAGTAATAAATATTAATAATTACTTCAACATGCATATCACAAGTCCTTGCAATATTAACTGGTATGT